ACCCCCCCGCCAGCATCCCAGCTCTGTCACTGGGCAAGCTCCCACACCACCGTGCAGATCTGCTTTCCACAGAAAACCTGGCTCTGCCATCCCAGGGGATGCATGGAGAAGAGGAAAATAGGTTTTTAAAAGCACTCAGCTAAAAAAAATAAAAAGAATGCTGTATTTAATTTTTTTGGAGGTTGTGGTGGTTTTTTTTTTTTTTTTCCTGTGGATGTTTTCAATGGCACACAGTGCAAGGTGCACTTACAGCCAGGCTGTGGGAGCTCATTGCCAGAGGGGCCAGAGCAACCAGGCTGGGTTGGGGGACGGCAGAACTGAACAGGGTCAGCCCTGGCTGCAGGAAGGGACCACAGCAGCAGCCAGGATGTCACCGCTTGGCATGACGAGCATGAGCTGTCCCCTACGCCCGCGGGGCTCACCCAGTGCCAGGCAGTGACACCCCGGTGCAGGGAAGGGCCAGGGGGGTCTCGATGCCGGTGTGTTTTTGTCACCTGGAAATTGCCAGTGATTCAGCAACAAACAGGATTTCTGTTTCTCTCCTCTCCGCCTCACCCCCTGTTACCTCTTCTGCTCCTCTGGCTCTCCAGCCCTGATGCTGCAGAGACATCCCCATCCTGGACCCCTCTTCCCAGAGCCAGGGAGCATCATACCCGGTCGCTGAAGGGCCACATCCATGGGAAGGAAACCAAAGGGCCACATGCAGCACGGCAAGGCCCTGAGCAGCCGTGCTGGGCACCCCACTGCCCGGGAGCTGCAAAGAGGGGGGCTCTGTGTGCCCTCCTCCAATGGCTTGGGGTTGGTGCGGGGTCTGGGTCCAGCACCAAGACCCTGATGGGCATGACATGGGGCAGGGTCCCAGTGCAGGTCCCCTGAGCCCACATCCCCTCCCTGCACAGCAAAGCTCCCCCCTCCTTCCGCAATTACTGCCCAAACCGAGCGGGAGTCATCCCAGGGAGCGGGGAGATGAGGGCTGCACATTAACATCTGCTCGACAAGCGCTGCTTCCTGGCTGCAGCCAGCCGGAGCGGCCACACAAAGGAGCTGGCAGGGCTGGGGACCCCATGGCGCGACCACCCGTACGCGGTGCCTCTCCCCACCATTGCTGTTTCAGTCACGCTGCTGCCAGCCCCGCTGCAAAGTTTTCCCTGCAGCGGGTGTGCGAGCGGGGAGAGCGGCACAAGGGATGCACCCGGCGGGGATGCGCTCAGCATCGCTCTGCCACATCGGTGCCTCGTCGGAGGCAGGAGGGGACCATTGCCCCGCCAATTCCATCCCGCTGCCTCCATCACACTGCCTGGGGCTAGGGGGGTGGCCGGGAAAGCGAGATGTAACTGGGAGGAGAGGGAGAGAGTGGGAAAGGGGGAGAGGAAAGGAAAGTCTAGGGGGGAACATTCAGCATGGGGAGAAAAGGTGGTTCCCAGGGGCTGAGGGGGCAACTAGACCACAAAACCACTTGACTTGGGAGTCTTGCACTGATGCAGGATTAAAAGTCAAGGCAAGCAAGAGGATGAAAGCACGAGCATGTGCACTGCTCGTGCTTTGCAACAGGGAGGGTCCCTGGGGACGTCATCCACAGCCCTCTGTCCCCGCACGGGTTCCCTGGCCTCTGCCTACAGCACACTGCTTAATGAGGGCAGCTGATTTACTATCCAGGAGTCTCCCAGAGTTAATTAAGAGCCTGCTGTGCTCCTATTGGCCGTTGCTCCCTATAACATAAGTTAATTCACTGC